CCAGACCGTAATTATTGCGCAATATTTTGGGCCGTAATAACTTACGTAAAATTACGTTAATATATTTCGCTGATGTAGTTTATGTAAATCTTTGATAATACAATAGTGACTTCTTTCTTCTTCCATAATTACTAGAAGATTTACTTGCTTATATTCATCACCTCTTCTTTCTAAAACATAGCGAAATTCAAGATACTCATTCTGGTTGTGCCATTCATAGACACATAGACTGATTTCAGGATTATTTTCTTCAAACTTTTTATAAACTGGTGTTGAGACCGGTACTGGAATTGGAATGTCTTCTATATTAAGTTTCTTCACAAAACCTCTATATAGCCGATGTGGATTTCTCTCTGGATGAACTTTAACTGGATGCAAAGCTCCTAGAACACTCCATCCAAAACACCAGTCATTATCATTTTGAATATTTATAATTCCATTATTACATTTTGGCAAAGTTTCGGGCAAAGATATATAGACAGTAGGACTAATTAGATTAAAATCAGCTATTTCTATACTAAATTCTTCTATATATTCTGGGTAAGCATCAGACATTTGGTATAGTGTTAGCTCTAACCATCGCGCTTTTACTTGTTTATAAAATTTTTTCTTTAATTAATTATTTCCTATTCTTTTCACTTTCCGATTATAGAGTTTCCACCGAAGGCGGTATTTTCAGGCTTGCCAAAATGGTTCTAGCTATCCTTCCCAAAACTAAAGTATTAACTAATTATTAATTAATCTTTCGAAATTTAGTGATAAAAAATAGGATGATCGGTGAATATTCCTGCCCATATCTCTGCAATACTAGAAAGGCTTGTGGGAGAGCTTGTATTCACCCTGAAGGTTGCCGATTTCATTGGAAATCAAAAAAACGGGTTCCATGCTCTGATTATGGGAAGCTAACTTCTTCAGCTTGTGGACGATACCCGTTAGATATTAGAGGTTATTATGTTATTCAGTATTATAATAGGCTTCGATCAAAAATACGAGAAGGTAATAGAAAAATCGTTTCAGCTAGCACTATACCTTAATTTTAGCCAGAATTTTAAACGCAATATTTAACAAGTATTAGCTAAATTTTTGTTAGACTTTTATATTTTTTTCATTAAAGTTTCATGATTAATATGCTATTTGATGAGCTAGCTTGCACAAAATCTGAAAAGGTCACGTGATTCTTGATATGATACTTAATGCATAGACCCCTTTAGAAGCAATTCTTGAATAGTTAGAGATATTCTTAAATAAATCTAACAAATTCGAAATTTTAATAAATATAACTAAAAAATCGATATAATTTCAAGGCTTTTGAGAACCTTAGAATATAATCCTGATATGTTTATAAATCATTAGACTATAAATTTCGGCAGGGTGAAATCATTAGACTTATTTATGGACAATTGTTAGAGCTATTTAATAATATATTTTTTAAGCTTTAAAAGTACACATAATACATTCTAGAGGGTTTTAAAATTAGTAGACTTATTTATAAAATAATAAATCTAATCAAAAATCAATATAGTTTTTAGGTTTGAGAGCCTTCCAGAATGTATTCCTGGTATGCTAATAAATCTAACAAAAAATCGATATAGTTTTTAAGCTTTGCAAGCTCCCAGAAAGTATTTTTGTTATATTTGTAAATCGTTAAACTTAATAAATATAACCAAAAATCGATATAGTTTCTGGGCTTTAAAGGTCCCTAGAATTACTTCCTGATATATAATAAATCGAAAAAAATTTTCTGGGTTTTAGAAGCTTTTAGAATATAATCCTGTTATATAATAAGTCTAACTGTCTCAAAACCCCTAGAATGACATTGTGTGTTTTTTCTATTTAAGTTCTTATATTGTTCTTGTGTTTCAGGCTCACTTAAGGCAGAAGTAAGGATTTCTGCCATGCCCATATAACTTGATTCGCCTATGGTGCCTTTTAGGAGCATGATGCAATTATATACTCTATTGTTTTAAACTTTTGTCTCAATTCTGCAAGAATTTTCTCTAACTCGTTTGCTTCTTGCCTTTCAGTTTTGATCAGTGATTAGCAGTCTATTTGAACCTGTTGCAAGCTCTGATTCCTGAAATAAATTTTTATTATCTATACTAGAAAGGGGCTTTCTAGTATTACTTCTGGCACATATACTGCCTTTTTCGCTGTTTGTAAACACTATTGGTATAAGTAATCTTCTTTGGGCTCTGATTTCTATTTGCTTGTTGCTTTCTTATATAGTATTCACTTTTGTATATGTTTCTTTTTGAATATTCTTTTCTTTCTTGATTCTCTTTATTATTGAAAAAGCAAATTTCTCCATAATGGTGGTTTTCATCCCACTTTATGCGCAGATTATAATAATATGGATTTGTTGACTTTGCTTTTTGTAAATCTAATATTGATGCAAAATATATGAATGCTACTTCTTTCTGATTGCCATTTCTGTTATCTGGTATATATACCATTTTTACTTTAAAATTGCTGAGTTGGCAAAGTAATGTTGCTTCATATGCATTATGTGGCACTCCTCTTAATATAAGTTTGAATTCATTTTTAAGCCCTAGTTCTCTTTTGTTAAATTTGCTGCTTGTTACTCTTATTGTTTTTCCTATTTCATAATGAATTGCCCAGGTATTTATAAAAAGGTGCTTTTTTTCCTTATTTGTACATCTAACTCTAACATGAGTAGCTTTATGTTCTGCTAAAATACGTCACTTAATATCTTCTACAAATCTATCCCTTAAATTGTAACACAGGCAAATTTGTCTGCAAAGATTTTTACTAATTTTTTTAATTTTTAAACTTTTTAATAAAATTTTAAATATTAATTTTAGCTATATATTTACTAAGTAAAAAATATATTTTAAAACCTATTTTATTAACTTTATTAAAAAATTTTTTTAAAAATATAAAAAAACTTTTAAATAATAAAAGTTTAAATATTTTTTTCCAAATTTTTTCTTTAAAATTTCTAAATTTTATATGTTTTCGCCTGTAAAAAAAATCTTTATTTCTAATACAAGTCTTAATTTTTACAAGTTAATCACTAAAAGTCAAATAATGAAAGTTGTAATTCTTAATCTAAACTTTAATATTGTATTAAGAATTATATTTTTAAAATCAATATTTAATGAGTTCATCAAAAAATAGTAAAAACTTTTTTGACTAAAAAAATACTCTATTTTTAGCTTATAAGCAACTTAAAATTTTTTCTTATAATATAAAAATAAATATTATAAAAAGATAATCCTTATTTTCAAATATTATTATATGAAATTTTATTTAAATATTTTAAATTTTAAAAAAATAAATCATAACTAAATTTATGCTATTTATAAGCTAAAATTATTGCATGAACTCTACAGCTTAAGTAATATGTAATTTTTTATTTATCATATCTTTTTTCAATATAATAAACTTTTATTTTTTATGATAAATAGTTTATAATTTTCTATATAATAAAAGTAATTCATCGTTAATTTTTTTATTTGAATAAAATGATACCTCTGTATAAAACTTTACAACTCATCTTTTCTAATGAAGAAAACTGCATTAATTTTTTGTTTGAACGTGGAATTCTTGATAAAAAACCAATATGTTGTGAATGTAGAGAGTCTACAACTCAATATGAAAAATTGTTTAAATGTAAACGTAAAAGTTGTCAAAAAGCAGTGTCAATTTTTAAAGGATTGTTTTTTTATAAACAAAAATTAAAAGTTAATGAAATAATTTAAATTGGATACTATTGGCTCACAAAGATGTCACACGATTCTATTATGACTATTACTGAATCTTCTGCACATACAGTTACCGATTATATGAACTTTTACCGAGATCTTGTTGGCTTTAATATTCACAATGAGCAAAATTTAATTGGCGGGCCTGGTATAATAGTTGATGTAGATGAATCTCTTTTTAGCTCAAGAAAATATAATCGTAGCCATCAAGTAGAAGGTAATTATTTATATTATAAATTTTTAAAAATATAAAATCAAATTATTAAATCACAACTAATATCTATTAGAAGTATGGGTATTTGGTGGTATTGAATGCACTAATAAAAGAAGAGTATTTGCAAAATTTGTTAGAGACAGAACTGCAGCAATATTGCTTAGTGCAATTAAAGAAAATATCCATCCTGAATCAATTATTTACTTAGATATGTGGAGTAGTTATCATAGTATCACTAGTGTTTTGGTTATAGAACATTATGCAGTAAATCATAGTGCTAATTTTGTTGACTCCATAACTGGGGTTCATACAAATACAATTAAGAGAACTTGGAATGAATTTAAAGTTCGAATTCCACCAAGAAATTGTAATACGTCTGATCTTTCTAATCATATTTTAGAATTTATTTGGCATAGGCAAAATACAAATAATCCTTGGGACTCTTTATTATTATGCTTACGAGATACTAGGGTTCCGCAATTTGATTTGATTTGATTTGATTCGATCAAATATTTGATCTCAAATCAAATTTAAATACAGAAATTTCAAATCAAATCAAATTCAAATTGACAAAATATTTGAT